AGCTGCTTGCGGACAAGAGATGGGCAGTCTCCTCCTGTGCAATTTACTGCCTCTGAAAACCCAGTGGAGGGTTGGCCAGGAGTCACTTCTGACTCCACTGCACTCAACAGCAATTATCAGTAACAACTCACTTGTTTTATCCTAGCCCTCACTGCCCTTCCTTTGTTGCTCCAGGCGGACAGAGATCAATTGTCCCTGGAATAAACAGCTGTTTGCCACCTTGTAGATCTCGGGCGCTGTGCAGCAAACTAGGAGATAGAACAGAAACACTGAGCTGATGAGCTGAAAGTTGATTTGCACTTGCATGTACATTAAACCCCGACCCCTTGAGGTGTTTGCTTGCCCATAAGCTGAGTGTGGATTTCTTGGGGGAGAAGCCTGCTGGCCTCTCATCTCTTCCCATGCTCAGCTTTGGCTTCCATCTTTCCGGCCTCCTGTACCTCAGTTTCCCCTTATACAAGATGCTGAGTCTGGCTTCGCTGCCCAACTCTTCCTTGTCCTTTTCCATTTTCATGGCCATCTTACCCCCATTTTATAGTTGAATATGAACTTTGAGCTGTGGTGCTAGAGAAGAGTTTTGAACATAGCATGGACCGCCAAGAAAACAAATGGCTCTGTCTTAGAAAGGATGAAACCGAGTCTCTCCTAGGAGGCAAGGACTTTGAAGCTCTGTCTCACATACTTAGGGCATGTGGCCAGGAGAGACTGGTCCTTGGAGAAGGACATCGTGCTTAGAAGGGTGGAGGTACAGCACAGGAGAGGAAGACCCTGGATGAGGTGGATTGACACAGTAACTGGGGCAGTGGGGGTAGGTGTGTTGGAGTCAGTGAGACTGGCTCAGGACAGGGCAGACTTCAGAGCTGCTGTATATAGGGTCACTATGAGTCACAGGTGGCTCGATGGCACATGTCATCAACAACAACAAACTGAGGATCAAGATAGGCGGCCGTTCTAATCTAAACAGCTAATTTCTAGGAGGAAGGAGAGGTCTGTGAATGAACAGAGAGGACATCACGGCTGGATACGCTGAGCTTGGCCAGAGAACTAGTTCATGGATGTGGCCTGATGGGGAGGTGGGGGGCTTTCAACAGGTGAGAAGCCTTCTCCTTGGTCTTCACATGGAAGGGGTTCGCACTGTCCTGGTGGGAGCTGAGTGGAGCCCTTGACCTGCTTCCCCAGCAACAGGGGAACCCACACTTGGCATGTCTGTGTGTCATTCCTTTCTCTCTGTGTCTCTCTCTTCCTCCCTCTCCCCTACTTCCTCTCACCCATCAGAGCCTTACCTCTGAGGGCCAAGAAATTCCCTAACGATGGTGATTTCCACACCGCTGGCGTGACACAATGTTGGTCATCTCAATGCACCACTTGTCCTGTAGGAGAGTTCTGGTGGTCCGGTGGGCAGCACTGTCACCCCAAAGGCACCCCATGAGGCCACCAGCTGCTCCTCAGGAGACAAGCAGCCAGTCTCCTCGCATGTGACTCACAGCCTCTGAAAGCCCACCGGAGGGTCAGCTGTTGAGTCAGTTCTGTCTTGACGACCATGACTGACTGACTCATCCTGTTACCGTCACCTAACAGCAGTTCCTCTAGGTGAGGGTGGAGGGCTGATGGCCTGGCTTTGACTCCCAGCTCCGTGTGACCTCAGGCAAGTCACGCCACCTCTCTGAGCCTCTGTCTTCTAAGCTGTGCTGAAGAGGATAACGTCTAAAACGTGTAAGAAGCACTTGCCATCAAGTCTGGCACACCTGCAGACTCGGTTGTCATGATTTTTCTTTAAAGCATTTACTTCATTTTAAAAAGAAACATGACAGTCGATTATGATTTCTCTAATAATCACATAAGCATATAACTGGAGTTTTTAAATATTTGGGTACTTTCTAAGTGGTATAGCACTGGTCTGTGCATTGCTGTACAGAGGTAACTCGTGGTTGCTGTGATGCTGAACACGGTGACACTAATGTGTCAAATGGGATAATGGTTACCCATGGTGGACAGTGTTTGGTGGAGCTCCCCGATTAAAACAAGCTTGGAAGCAGAAGTGGCATCCACTTCCGAAATAGCTTGCCTCTAGAAACCCTATGAACCTGGAGGAACAGTAAAAATTATACAAATGTTTAGGTCTTTCATTTATAAGGTCGCTATGAGTCATCTACGATTTGACGGTACTTAACAACAACAACATGGGTATGACGAGCCAGAAATGCTGGTCACTCTCATCTGATTCCTCTGTTAGTTTTCTGGGGCTGTTGTGACAGATGTGCTTCCCTATCCACCTCTGTTCAGAGGGAGCTGGATGTCATCATACTAGGTAATGTGCCGTATCTGAGATGTTTAAGGCTCCTGTGTTTCAGTCAGGCTCTGTGGACCCGTCTCTAAGAAGGTGACATCTCAGCATGTGGGTCTTTCCACACGTACAGTTGGATTCCTGACACAGTGGTGGAGGTTGGGGGCCGTCAAGTTGATTCCAACTCCTGATTCGATGTGACCGAGGAGAAAACTGCACCACAACCTTGACGGAAACAAATTGCCAGATCTTCCTCCTGACAGAGTGTTAGAGATGCAAGGATGCAGGTGGGTAGGGAGAGTGTGTGCCTGAACCCTGGTATGGTGGGTTGAGGGCTCGGTCACTAACAAAAATGTCAGCAGTTCTAATCTACTGCTACTCCCAGGGAGAAAGTGAAGCAGCGGCTTCCATAAACCCTCTGGACAACCACCTGGCCAGCTGACTGGAAGAGACTCACGTTCCCATTCCAAAATAGGTGACCCGATGAGTGTGAGAATTACCAAACAATATCATTGACATCACATGCTAGCAAGATTTTGCCGAAGATTTTCCCAAAATGACTGGAACAGCACATCAACAGAGAACTGCCAGATGTGCAGGGTGGGTTTAGAAGGGGTCATGGTACTAGGGATATTGTAGCTGATGTTAGATAGATCTTGGCTGAAAGCAGAGAGCACCAGAGGAATGTCTATCTGCATTCCATTGACTATGCAAAGACATTTGACTGTGTGGATCATAACAAACTGTGGCTGACTCTGAGAAGAATGGAAATCCTAAAACACTTGATTGTACTTGTGCGAAACCTATACTTGGACCAGGAGGCAGTCGTCAGAACAGAGTAAGGAAACACTGCATGGTTCAAAATTGGGAAGGGTGTACGCAAGGGATGTGTCCTGTCTCCATACCTTTTCAATCTGTATGCAGAACAGATTATCCTGGAGTCTGGGCTCTACGAGGAGGAATGTGGCATCAGGATTGGAGGAAGATTCATCAACAATCTGTGTTATGCAGATGACACACCCTGCTTGCTGAAACTGAGGAGGACCTGAAGCACTTGCTGCAGAAGGTCAAGGACTGCAGCCTTCAATATGGATTGAAGCTCAACATCAAGAAAACAAAGATTCTCACCACTGGTCTATTAGCAGCATCTGATAGACGGTGAAGAGATTGAGGTTGTTTACAGCTTCAGTTTGCTTGGCTCCACAATCAACACTCTTGGCATCAGCAGCCAGGAAATGAAAAGATTAATTGCATTGGGAAAGTCTGCTGTCAGGGACCTCTCCAGAGTTCTGAAGAGCAACAATGTCAATCTGGAGACTAAGGTGCGCCTGATCCAGACCATGGTCTCCACAATTACGTGTTATGTATCAGAGAGATGGATAATGAGTAGGAATGATAGAATGAGAATTGATGCCTTTGAGCTGTGGTGCCAGAGAAGAGTATTGAATACATGAACTGCTAGGAAAACAAACAGGTTTGTCCTGGAGAGGGTGAAACCAAGCTGCTCCTTGGAGGCAAGGATTCTGAAGCTTCTTCAGACATACTTTGGACATGTTGCAAGGAGGGATCTGTCCTTGGAGAGGGATGTCATGCTTGGAAGGGTGGAGGGATAGCACAGGAGAGGAAGACCCTCGATGAGATGGATTGACTCAGTGACTTGGGTAATGAGGTTATGTGTGTCGGAGACAATAAGGTTGGCTCAACAGAGCTGTTGTACGTAGGGCTGCTATGAGTTGCAGGCGACTTGACGGTATATAACAACAACAGTAACAACAACTCTATGAGGCATGGCTTTTCATTCTTTGTCCTAGAAGGGAGGGCCAGGTGGCCTGGTGGGGAAAGGGCTGCACTGTTAACCCAAAGGCCGGCAGTTTGGATCCCCCAGCAGCTCGATGGGAGGGAGATGGATAATCTCCCGTGTGATTTACAGCCTCTGAAAACCCACTTGGAAGGTCAGCTCCGGGTCTGTTCTGACTCAGTGGCTCTCACACACACATGCACAGAGAGGGTCACTAAGTTAGAATGGACTGGATGGCAGTGAGTGAGCCACGTGCATATAGAAAGCCTGGCGTCTCAGTGGTCAGCGCGGCTGCTGACTGAAAGGTGGATTAGATCTCACTGTGGCTCTGCAGGAAGGCCTGGCCGTCTGTTGTCCCAAAGATGGAGCTGTTCTGCCCTGTCCTGCCTCTGGCTGCACTCTGCTCACTCTGTGTGTGTGTGTGTGTGTGTGTGTGTGTGTGTGTGTGTGTGTGTTGTGGGGGAGGATAGAAGGGGAGCTGTGATTCTGCTGAGGCTGTAACACAGCAGGGCCTGTGGTGCGGGTCTGTGAAAAGGGTGATGGGGGGCGGGGAAGAAGAACGAACTGGGGAGGAGGGTAGAGAAAACAGTGCAACAATGAATGAATGAAAACTCAAAATCTCTGTAAATGTTCATTAAAACTAATAAAATTTAATAATAATTTTTTTAAAAAAGGGTGATTGGGTGTGAGAGAGATGGGCTGGTGTAGTCCATGGTGCTGAGGGTGTGTGTGTGTGTGTGTGTACACTGTATAGGAGGGGGTGGCTGAAGGGGTCACATGGTTGTAAAGGCAGGGCTGTGCCTGTCATTGAAGGAGGACAGTGTGTGTCCATCTGGGCAGACGGCTCCCAGGGGACTTGGCTGGCAGCTGACTCACACCTGGTAGACCTGCGTCCTGACGCCTCCTTTTTCTCCCCAGACCTATGTCTTCACTGACAGCCCGGATGAAGGCCTCCAGGAGAGACTGGGTAACTGTCTGCTTGGGTCGGTGGGGCGGGATGGGGGGTGGCCTGTGCCCTGGCCTGGGGACTCCTGGGGACACACAGGGATTCCCCTTTGCCAGGAGAGCAGAGTAGCCCTTTTCCCTGAGAACTGTGTGAGTGTGGGGACAGGCTGTGCAGGACAAGGCCCTGTCGACTGTGGATTAGCTCTGTGGTCCTGAGCGTGGCAGCTTGCTCTGGGCTTCAGTTTCCCCAGCTGTGAAACGGGAGTAGAGGGGCGGCTGGGGGCTCTTGGAGACCAGGCCCTGGTCTGCATTTTCATGATGACCCTCTCGCTCCCGCAGGACCCCATCTAGTGGTCACCAGCTGCCCTGCAGAGCACAGTCACCCAGCCCTGTCCTGCAAGATGGCCGCTGAGTTAGATGCTTTCCTGGCCAGTGGGCTAAGGTGAGAGCTGCGGGTCTCTGGGGATGAGGGTGGCCTTTGTCTCAGGCCAGCCCTGAACAGGGTCTTGTGAAAAAGTGAAGTGGTCTGGGGGCCAGCCAACCAGCCATGCGCTCTGTTGTTGATGTGACTCAATGACCCTGAAGTACAGAGTAGAAGTAACTACCCTGAGGCTGAAATCTACACACACACACACCAGACTGCCACACCTTTCTCCCTCCGGGCAGCTAGACTGTTCTAACCATTAACTTTCAGTTAGTAACCAGACACTTTAAGCACTGTGCCACTAAGATTCCTCCATCTAGGCCCAGACAGTGTCATTATGCAGGGCCTGGCTCCTGGCACAGTGACTGTACCTGCCTGGCCACCTACCTAGCTGGCAGTCAGTGTCCAGTGTCCAGTGGGCTGGAGAGCCAGGCTGGATTGAAATCTGGCTGTGTGGCCCTAGGCTAGAGTGTTAACCTCTCTGAGTCTTGGTCCTCCCTCCGCCCCCTCGTGTGAGGCCCATCTTTTTCATGAGCTTATGTGAGATGTGGCGTGGTACCCCCAGGTACCTCTCCTGCTCCCCTAATCCCTCCTCCCTGATGGTGGGTGGGGCACACGTTGGAGGGGTCCTTTGAAGCCCTCCCCCCCGTTTCGTTCCTGCAGGTGGTTCTGCCACGTGGACGATGACAATTACGTGAATCCACCAGCGCTGCTGCGGCTGCTGGCCAGCTTCGCCCCGGCCCACAACGTCTACGTGGGCAAGCCCAGCCTGAACCGGCCGATCCACGCCTCAGAACCTCTGCCCCGTAACCGCACGGTCAGTCCCTCCCTCTGCCCGCTGCCCGCTGGGCTTGGGCAGGGCCAGGCCTGGAGTGGGGCAGGGTGGAGAGAGCTGGGCTCCGGGCTTCAGGCTAGTTAGTCTCCATCGGTTTCTAACCTTTACCTCTGCGAGCCTCATTCTCCTCTGTGAGATGGGAAGACGGTTCCAGCACAGGAAGGGCACAGAACTGGCACTCGGGGCACGTCTGTCACCAAGGGGCGGTACCTGCCTGGCTCTGGTCACACAGGTCCTTGAGCTGGGGCTTCCTGATTCCACCCAGGACTATGAGCTGCCTGCTCTCACGTGACTGTTTAAAATGTACAGGCTGTTAAAACGCTGGCATCCTGGGCCAGGTGGTAATCCCACTGCCCTGAGTGCCCCTCCCTGGGCAGCCCCTCCCAGACTTCTCCACTAACCCAGAGAGAAGCGTGGACAGCTGGCACGACAGGGGGCCCATGCCAGCTGCCTCCAGACTTGGATGGTTACTAATTAGAGCTGCCAGATTTAGAAAACTAACAAACAGAAAACTGGGGTACCAGCTCCATCTGAGATAACCAGCCATACATCTTAGTACAAGCATGCCCCAAACCAGCTTGGTTCTCCCCGGCCTCCATCAGGCTGTCCACACTGGGTGGCCCAGTCCCCCAGAGCTCCTTTATCCCCCAGGAAAAAGACAGGTCAGGGGGTCCCCTCTGCTGGGCTCCTCTCCCTCCCTGCTCGCCGACTGCTCCTTCAGAGAAGCCAGTGGCTAAAAACACAGAGCCTCAGTTTTCAGAAAGGAATCTGCTTTTGTCCCCTAATTAAGCTCCTGGGACCTGGGGTGCTGCCCTGGGCATGAAGGCAGGTATGTGTGAGCTGATTCCTCCGGTCTGGGGTCCTTCAAGCTCTGACACCCCTTCAGGCCTGGTCTTCATTTCTGAATCTTTGTCTTAGGGGGTCAGGAACCCCACTGGCTCACGCCTGGCCCTGCCACCTCCTGGCTCTGTGACTGTCAGTGAAGTCCCCTAACTGCCCTGAACCTCAGTTTCCTCATTGGTGAGAGTTGGGTGCTGCATCTTCCTTCACGGGGCAGTGTGAGCAGAGGTGAAAGGCTTAGGTGAGGTCATCTGTCCAGGTGCCTGGACCTGACACATGTGACACCAGGAAGTGTGTACGACCCGTCGCTGATGCGGTCGGCCTGCAGTGCTGTACACAGCGTGCCTGTCTCGTGTAGATCCGTGCATGCTGGACGCACCCAGGTCACTCCTCAAGCTGATCCGGGGCCCTTCTTGGCATGAACCCCACAATGGGTTCCCTGGACTCTCCATGGAGTGCAACAGACCCCAAAGTGTCTGAGCTGGTTCAGACTCTGGGGTACACTAGGGTGGGGCAGCCAAGGGGACTGGAGACCCATCCCAGCTTGGGGACCTCAGGCAAGACATCCCTTCTTAGAGCCTCGGTCACCTCATTTGCAAAGTGGGCAACAAGAAAGTCCGATACTTGATGCGTAGGACCCCCTTGGGTCCAGGGTTTGGTGGCTTTAAATGAGAGCGGGCAGGCCCAGGCCTCAGCACAGGACAGGCCCAGTCCTCAGCACAAGACAGGCCCAGCCCTCAGCACAAGACAGGCTCAGCCTTCAGTACAAGCATGGCACCATCAGCCTTCAGAGTTTAGTTCACTGTCAAAAAGTCAATTCCAAACAAGCATCCCTTAGGACAAGAGGGGACTGTCCCCGAGGCCTTCTGAAGCCGTAAATCTTGACAGAACAAACTGCCTCATCATTCTCGCATGGAGCAACTGGTGGGCTTTGAACTGCCAACCTTTCAGTTAACAGTACAGTATTTATCTCTCCACCCCACCAGGGCTCCATGTGCTCGGGGTTGGGGTACTTGTGTCTTTATAGTTGTCATGACTGCAGCTGCCTGGGAGCTGAAACTACTCACTAAAGAAGCATTTGCTGGGCACCTTCTGTATGCTAGGTCCTCAAGGGAAGCACTACTTCTGTCTGCTTGAGTCCTGTCTCCTCTCTGAAAAGGGAAACATTTCTAGAAGTCAGCTGATAAGTCTGTAGGAGGAGGACACCTCCAGGCCAGGGGAACATGGGGCTTCAGAACTGGGGCAGGTGCTTATGCTCAGAGGGGCAATCTGGAAGCCAGAGATGGGCTTTCGCGGTTACACAGCTGTCAGTGGCGGGGGAGGAAGGCGTCTCTCCTGCTGGACACCAGCCCCCCGAGAGCATCCGTTCACTGTGGGGAACCTGGTAGATCCAGCTGTGGCACAACTGGAAGCGTGGAACGTGTCCCTAAAGCCTTATTGATTCACCAGTGAATTCCCGGGTCCTCGAGAATGGGGAGTTGGATGAGGGAAGCAGTCTTGGGCTGTGGGATGTTGGTGAGATTCTTTGAGTTGGACTCAGCCCGCCCCCTCGTGCATTTACTCTGTGGGAGGCGTTGGGCTCTCTTTTTTGTTGAAGTTGTCTTCAGTTCCGGGAATCGGAGTGAAGCCATCAAGACTACAACTACAATGGGAGAAGCATTATAATCAACTACTCCTTCTAGGATGTCTGACCAACTGTGTGGCCTGGGCTGTGGACACTGTCCTCAGCAGCCCCTCTGGACCCACCGGGAGGGAAATGGAGCTCCTTTCCTGGGGAAGGAGGGAAGGTGTGCTGGGCAGACAGAAATGACTCATCTCTTTTAACAGGAATCCAGATAGATTGAGGTCTGGTTAGTGACCCCAGAACTTTTTTTTAAATTTTTTTCCCCCCAGCACTTTTAATGAGCTATATGTGGGTTTGGGTCTTGGTTTTCTGATCTGCAAAATGGGCATAATGATGACAGGCTGTAGTGAGAGTTTAATGAAGCTAGCGAAGGTGAGACGCAGCCTGGCTGTCACTTCAGTCAACCCCAACACCTAGGCTGACCCACACACACATCTTGACCTTCCTCTCCCGTAGAGATTGGTACAGTTCTGGTTCGCTACTGGGGGCGCTGGCTTCTGCATCAACCGCAGATTGGTTTTGAAGATGGCTCCTTGGGCCAGGTAAGCAGAGATGTATGGGGCAGGAGGGTGGTAAGGGCGGCTGGTGTGTGTGTGTGTGTCCTTGGCATCAGGAAGGGTTTGGAGAGGCACGCTTACAGAGCCAGACCTGAGGGAGATAGGTGAGCAGACCACTTGCCACCCCCGTCTCAGGGACCTGACTGTCTGTGGCACCCTGTCACATACAGGGGAGTCATGTAATCTCCAGTAGCCTCAGTCCCTTCATCTGTAAAATGGACCTTTTACTAGCCCAGCAGTGGTTGAAGGAAGAGTTCAGTGAGGAAATGTCTGAGCTAGCACGTGAGCAGACTGGCAGCTCTCTTCTGACCTGCAGTCCCACAGGGAGCCACACACCAAGTGTGGGGACACTCGGGGAGGAGAAGGGGCTTCTGGCTGGGGATGGGCTGGAAGGCTTCCTGGAGGAGGTGGCATTTGAACTGAGAGTGAATCCTGTTCTTTGAAGATTCGGGTGAAGGAGTCTGAGGGGAAGTGAGAACCCTTGATACGAAGTATTGAAGGAAGACGGGCTCTGGTGTTCTGAGAGGAAGTGACCTGGGGAGGCTGTTATGTATTTTGTCTTCTAAGTTTTATTTATTTTGGTGAGAATGTGCATGGCAAATCACACACCAGTTCAGCAGTTTCTACTGCACAATTTAGTGACACTGTTTATATTCTTCTAGTTCTGAATCCGTTCTTGTCTTTCTTTTCTAACTTTTCCTCCCCTATAACAGTGAACTCTTCATCTCCTGGTCTCTGAAAAACTCCCTGTTTTCACTTCCTCCAAGACAGAATTGCTGGTTCTTTTGGAAGTCTGTAGGATGTTCAGTCCTCTTCCCCAACACCATGGTTCAGAGCATCAAGCCTTCTTCTTTCATCTTTATTCATCATCTCAATTTCAGATGTATAGGAAGCAATGGAACAAGGATGGGGAAGCTTCAGCTCACATATTTGGGGCGTGTTGTCAGGATGGGACAGCCCTTGAAGAAAAGCATCATGCTGAGAAAGCTAGAGCTTCAGAGGAAGAGAAGAAAACTCTCAACAAGATGGATTGACACAGTGCCTGTAACAATGGGCTCAGGCACATTGGGGCTCATGAGAATGGCTCAGGGTAGGGCAAGGGTTGTTTTTGGATAATCTTCAGTAGAATCTTGCTTGCATGTGAAATCAGTGAGATTGTTCTGTAGTTTCCACATTCTGTTGGGTCACCCTTCTTTGGGATGGGAACAAATATAGATC